AAAAGGACTTTACCATCATTATTCAGGAAGAACTAATGCTCAGAGGGCAAAAACTCCCTAAAATCCCGCCCCTCTACAGTACCCTCTTACTCATATTTTTATATTTCATCTGCATTTATTATGTACTTTAGATACCTACTGATACATAATTTATTCCTTTTTACAATATCTATCTATGAAAGGGGGGAATATTTCATGAAGATGAAGACAGAGAAAGCAAGATAAAAAACTTTGTAGAATATTTTGAATTCCTTTAGACTAATCTTTAATACAGATGCTTATTTTTATGCCGTAACAATGAATTCAGTATTTTTCTATTATGTATGTGATAAAGTTACTTCTCTCAAAGAAGATTTTAGTTTTGAAGCAGCAAGTTCCATTTCTTGTAAATAATTAGCAAGCCAGGAAGCAGAAATAGCAGAAAGATACCATAAAGCTTGCATTTAAATTTGATCTAAGAGAGAAACTTACTAGCCTAAGGGAAATGAATATATTAAAAGGAACCAAAATATGTTTTCCCATTTCAGTAGAAAATAGATCTAAACAGTATGTTAAAATTTAAGCCTCCTGAATTTACACAGACATTTAAATAAATATTTTTGCGTCTAAGAGGAAGGTACAATAACTCTTTTCTAAAATATCTCCTTCAGACATTCCTCATATCTCCCCCATTTCATAGAATTTTTTCCCCTTAAACTCTGTCACGGTTTTTGGTTTGGCAGTTGTCAGAATCTGCTCCTGGCTCCGTGCTCAGGGGTCTCGGCGGTGCTGGGACTGACCCCGGGCTACCGAAAACAAGGCATGTGCACCGTTCTGTGGAGTAACCTGATCCTAATTTCTTTTTTTGTTCCTGATATTCCTGCTTTAGTTGGGCCTTTAAAATTTAAAATACATTTGATTTTTGAGGCATGTTCACACTCAGGCAAACCATTTAAACTTTCCTAGTTGTATAGCGACACCTGCTGGCCATCTCCTGCCATGACCACAGTGCCCACTGGACCCCAGTTCTGCTTGGCTTCTTCAGTGGCTCCGTTTGTCAAAGTGGATTATCTCATGACTTCTGTCACATCCGAGAGATCTTTAAACTAACAATGCTTGTAGTTTAGGGACTAGGAAAGGCTCTCCACGCCCGTGTTCTCCCTTGAATACGTATCTCACTTGCCTGTCCCTCTATTTCTCTGACTGCTTATTTCCACTCTGGAGAAACCCGTGCTCTCTCCTGAACACGTTTCCCCTCATTCTCTGCTCTCACTTCTAAGCAAGTTTCACTGAATAAAAACTACTTTGTTTTCCTTTAAAAAAAAAAGAAGAAAATAAAACAGAAAATTCCCTAACCATATGGACCCATCAGACACTTTTACAAGTTCAAGACATACTACGAAATATTAGCCTTCTAATTTTTCCTGTCTGTTGAAACATTTGGTACTTCATGACTGTAAAAGGAATTATTTCATCATTATTCAGTTATTCATGCTATAAAACACTAAATGAGAATGGAAGATGGTAGGTAGATACAAGATACCATTAAAATTAATTTCATTCTTTCCTGCCTCGCAAGATGGTGGGTGAAAGTTCGAGAAGCCAGCTCTGAAGGAGAAACTGGGACCCAAGAGCACCGCCAGGAGTGATTCCTGAGTGAAAGCCAGGAGTAACCCCTGAGCATTGCTGGGTGTGACCCAAACAGCAAAAAAAAAAAAAAAAAAAAAAAAAAAAATTCACTCCACAGCTAAAAGTTCAAAGAAGGGGAAGACCTGCTGCAGCCAAAACCCAGTCCTAGTCCAAGGGTTGGCCAATATTCCTGGTCTGTATGTATTCCAGAAAGGCCCTGTACAAGAGGAAGTAGTCAATTAAAAAAAAATTAAGCCAAGATTGAATAGAAAGAACAACAACAAACACTGTCCTCCCATTGTTCATCGAATAGAAAGAAAGAAAAAAAGAGAGGAGAGAGGGAGAAAGGGAGAAAGAGGGGGAGAGAGAGGGAGGGAAAGTCAGAGGGAGAGTCAGAGAGGGGGAGGGGTGAGAGGGGGAGAGGGAGAGAGGGTGAGAAAGAGAGAGAGATTAGGGAAATGTTCCTGTTGCTGTGACGAAGTCAATGGATCGGATCGGGGCCACCCAGGAACATAGGCAGCAGTGCCCGGGGAAGCAGGCAGGGCCAGGGATGGAGCTCGGGGCCTCGTGTGTGCAAGGCACGCATACCACCCCTCTGAGCTCTCTCCCTGTCCAGATACGCGCCACTTGAGAATGCATTCTTCCCATTAGAGTTCACAATCATCCTTAGGACTTATAAGAAAATGACTTTGGGTTCTAGCCCACTAGACCCTTATGTCCTGATACACCATTGCAGAGTTTCTCCCACTGGCAGGCAGCGGACACCTGGGCCCCGGCCGAGCGTGCTCTCCTCAGCAAGCTTTCTAAAATGGCAGGCCGAAAGCAAACCTCGTGTTCTTTTCTGCTTTTAATGTTCTGTGTACTCTCTCCCTTCACACAATGAGCTGATAGCCTGTTTCCCTGTTTAGCTCACTGTTGAGTTATTTGTGGCCTGACTATCCCACGATGCTTATTATATGTGTATGATAGAATACGGGACAAACCCCAATCGATAAAGCCATGACTTATTTATTTATTTATTTACTCTTTTGTTTGGGGTCACACCCAGCAATGCACAAGGGTTACTCCTAGCTCTGCACTCAGGAATTACTCCTGGCGGTGCTCAGGGGACCATATGGGATGCTGGGAATCGAACCCGGGTCGGCCGCGTGCAAGACAAACACCCTACCCGCTGTGCTATCACTCCAGCCCGCCGTGACTTATTTTTAAGCAGTTGTGACAATCATGCTCTGACACTCAGGGACTTCTCCTCTTTGGGGTATGCACTGGCATTCGGGGGGCAAAACCTTTCTCCTCTTTGAATATCACATACAGCACTACGGAAGCTGTCAAAATCGTTGTCAGGGCTCCGTAAGACAGCTCAAAGGGCTGACTTAAGCTTAGCTGGAGCACTGCGTGCCCCCTCCACGGCATTACCGGAGCAGCCCTGAGGTCCTCAGGCGCCACAGATGACGCCTCTGGGCCCCTAAGACTGACTTGTCCTGCTCTACAGTAGCTCTGGGAGCGGCTCCCAGGTTCCCTGAGCACCGCTTGGAAGATTCACACAAAAATAATTCGAAGGAAGTTACTCTGTCACTGTATTTTAAGGCAGGTTCTTCTCTCTTTGTTCAGTTGCCAAATCCTGATTCAATGTGAAACTTCGCTGTTTGAAAATGAATTTCAAAGATGTTGACTAAACCCCCCTCCTATTTAAAAATAAACCTTAGGACTGGAGTGATAGTACCTTACCAGGGTAGGGCCCTTGCTTTGCACTGCCAGGAGTAATTCTTGAGTGTAGAATCAGGAGTAATTCCTGAGCATCGCTGGGTATGGCCCAAAAACCAACCAACCAAACAAACAAACAAACAAACAAACAAAAATAAACCCGAGCAGTGCAAGGTATGTGGTGATTCCAGAAAATACATCCTTCTGGGCTTTGAAACAGCTGCCTATCAAAGTCAATCCTCCTCTATGTCCTTCCAATACAATGTTTCCCAAAATTTGATCTCTGGCCCCTTTTTTTTTTTTTTTACCACTTTCTACATTCCCTCTAGAACTTCCGTAACAAGCATATACTCCTCCCATGTGTTTTTATCACCATCTGTATGCTGGTGGCTGTGAAATCTTCATAAACAAACTTCATGTCTCACTTGTGATCTAAGTCCCTATTTCTCCTTCACTGGGATCATCCAACGTAAAGTGAACCCAGCCGCATTCACTCCTGCCTCTCCAACCTGATCGTCCTTCTTTCCCTGTAAGTCACAGCAGTATCAGCATCGGACACACAGACGGATCTCGGACCCGAGCTACTTGCTGCAGAGATGGACTTTGCAAAAGGTCATTTTCGCCAGGAAACTCCAATTGGGGGCAGGTGCCATCTCTCTGCCTGCCCTCTAGGAATCCTGGCCTCAGAGAAAAGCTCCAGGTACAGGTGGTGGTAGCGGGAAACACCAGGCCTCACGGGACAGGGGAGGAGTCGGTCCTTCTCCTTCCTCCTGCCCCAAGGGGACTCTGAGATGACGCCCACACACAGCCACTGTCTGCTTAAGCTCCCACATAGCCATGATCCAGAGACACACAAATGAATCTCGGACCCAAGCAACTCGCTGCAACGATCTCTCCAGACCCTAATTATTAAAATTTTAGAATTCCTAGAGTGCACGGCCGCTCTTGCGGCCACACAACATTATATTGTATCCATAACAAGCAATGTGAAACACATTGTCTAGCACTGCATTTTCGGCAGGTATGAATGGTGGTGGGACTGGGCTCAGATGCCGAAGGTAACCAAAGTAGAGAAAGAGAGTATTGTGCAAATTGTCTGCCACACAGGCAGGGGAAGGTGTGGAATGGGGGGTGGGGAGGGGATACTGGGGAATTTGGGAGTGGAAAATGTGCAACGATGAAGGGATGGGTATTTGATGATTGCATGACTGAAGCTCAAACATGAAAGTTCTGTTATTGTGCCTCAATAAATACAATGGTCCAATCAATAAAAATGGGGAAAAACAAAAACAAGAACCCAGTATCAGCATCTTCCCCGCCAAGCCCTCCCACTCCTCCCCAGTGGAGGAGGCAAGTCGGGTGGAATCCATCCCCGAAACGACCTCCGAAATCCTCCACCTCTCTCTCTCTCTCTCTCTCTCTCTCTCTCTCTCTCTGCCCTCCAACTCCCTTAGCAGCCATTCAGAGGCATCCGGAATCTGGCTCATTAGTACAAAAACAATAGCAAAGGCTTTCAATTTGGAAGTTACACTAATTCACACAGACACACACACACACACACACACACACACACCACCACCACCACCACCACCAAAACAAAACACTTTCTAAGGAACTAATCTAGCTTCACACAGCATCCAATTCTTTAGAAATTTTTTCCCTACAAGTTAACAAAAAATAATACTTACTTAAATGGTGTAAACAAAAATGACAAAGTAGTTTCTTTTTTCTGAGTCATTTTCACCTGGGAACCAAATAGGAAAATAGTTTATTATATGATAAAAAAGAAAAAATCAATTTCATAGTGAAATTAAAGTATCCATTAAAGTGGTTGTCTGGGGATGGATGGTTAAATATTATGAAAAGAAATGGAATTTTATACTACCAAATTAATTCATAACTAAAGAAAATTTGATCATACAATCACAAGTTAAGAATTATGCATAACAAACTAGCCTGCAAAATAACATACTGTAATTAAACTACTTCTTTAACTCTTAAAAAATAAAATAAACCAAGCTACATTAACAGTATCACAGATTCAGTTAAATTGTTACCTCTTTAAGTTGTTACGCATAAAATAATATGGAATGGCAGAAGTGTTTCAGGTTACACTTCTATGGGCAAATTCCAAATGATAAAAACTTGGCTTTCAGTCTTTATTAGCATATGACACAGTAGTACAATAAGGAACTAAGGAACATTTCTCACAGAAAAAGTCTTTATCTTCAAACTGATTCATGGAAACTATACCTCAGAAATGTAAAACCTTATATCACATTTAGTAAAAGAAAGGCCCTCCTGTTGATCATCGATTTGCTCGAGCGGGCCCAGTAACGTCTCCATTGGAGACTTTGTTGTTACTGTGTCTGGCATATCGAATACTCTCAGTAGCTTGCCGGGCTCTCCAAGAGGGGCGGAGGAATCGAACTCGGGTCGGCCATGTTGGCTGCGTGCAAGGCAAACGCCCTACCGCTGTGCTATCGCTCCAGCCCAGTAAAAGAAAAACTTTGATTATAACACAACATTTAAAGATAAATTCTAGAAAATCATTTTAAAAGATAATATCAAATATTTTTACTTAATATATTTGCTATGCAAATTGCAGTAGCATCCATTTCTCTGTGTGTGTTTGTGTGTGTGTGTGTGTGTGTGTGCGCTTTACCTTGAATTGTTCAAGCATCTGTACAGCATTTGTAAACATACTCTCTGCCTTGAACAAAGCAGTATTGTTAAGATAATTCACAGGTAGGATGCCCTGTAAACAATAAATATTAGTTAAAAATTCGTTTTATCAAATCGTAGACTATTCATTTAAACCAGTCTCACAACAAAAGCAAAAGATAGACAAATAGATTTCTGAAATAATCATTTTGAAAACCACAAATGAAAATGATGTTCTATCATTTTTTTTGACACAAAGTAGATCAAGCATACAAAGAAAAAGAGATTAAGTTCAATAAAATCTTGTATTCATTTAAAGCTGATTTATGTGTTGGCAGTGCACTAAGTGCTTTCTGTGTACCAAAAAACTACTACGGTGGCGTACCAAAAAACTACTACGGTGGGCCACAGCATACTTGAAAAGGAAAAAGGGCGTGAGGCACAGAGGAGGAAAGCTTTGCATGCTTGAGCCCTGACTCAAGCACCACATGCTCCCGGACGCCCGGTAGGAGCCCCTGCGGCCCCGAACACCAGTAAGGAGGAGTGTCAGCAGGCAGAACAACTGGGGCTCTGCGATGGGCCACTGCCATCCCTTACTAAAGGAGACGAGGAAGCCAGGACAGCTCTCAGGGGAGTCCAGGAATTCTACTAGTCAGAAGGGAGAGGACACCAGGCGAGTCGCCGCTGTCCCCAAGGAGACCAACCCAGCCGGGGACCACACTCACTTCCTCTTTCCAGTTCTCTGCAGCACTTGACCACTGCTTGGTGCCAAACCTTCCTCTGATTCATCCTGGGGCTCCTGAAACTTTTTCCACCCATGAATCCTTTCAGCTAAGGAACTTTTAAGTAGCCTCAGGGCACAAAGGATATAAAACAGGTAAACTAGTTTAACATTTGCTGGTAATAAATCATAACAAAATTTGAAATGACATTTAACGAAGTTTAGAGAGCCCATGTGGGGCTGTGAGCCCAAGTTTAAGCAGGTAGGATTTGTCAAATCAGCAATCTCTTTATAGAAGCCCTTTCAATGGATTCCATCCCTGCTGCTTGCAATACAAAGTATTTATATATTTTTATAACATAACTCAAATATACACCTACATACATGAACGATAGCACAGCGGGTAGGGCGTTCACCTTACAAGCGGCCAACATGGCCGACCCGAGTTCGATTCCTCCACCCCTCTCGGAGAGCCCGGCAAGCTACCGAGAGTATCCGATATGCCAGACACAGTAACAACAAAGTCTCCAATGGAGACGTTACTGGGCCCGCTCGAGCAAATCGACGATCAACGGGAGAGCCTTTACCTTTACCTCGAGCAAATACATTTTGGAAAATATAAACTTTTGGGGAAGGGGTCTTAGGAATTATATCTGCAGCACTCAAAGGCAATTCCCAGTTCTGTGCTCAGGGATCACTCCTCAGTGGTGCAGGGTTGAACCTGAGCTCCTGCCTATAAAGCACGCACTGAGTCAGTCGAACCCCAGAAAGCAAAATCATTTAAGAAAACTTATTAGACTTGTTCTATGTTTTAGACTATGTTTAGCACACAATTACAGTATACGGCATTTTAAAAAAGAAAAAGGAAAATAGCTTTAAATACATTCAAAAGTTATTCATAAAGACACATAACTAAAATTACTGTTTGGTGACTTGTTAATCTTGAGATATGACAATAAAATTTTATTCCTTACCACTGAGTTAAGGGGAAAGGGAACTCCGATAAGAGAAGCCATCAATGGTGCAACATCAGCCTACAAAGAAAGTTCAAATCTAAGAAGACTGCAGATATAATATAAAAAATTTTAATGCAATTATAGATTGAAATATACCCATGATATTTGCTATAATTTGCTACGTTTGAATATTTATTGATATCAATCTCTAACAATATCATTTGAAATAGGTAAATGAGTTTATGAAAAATTTAATTTGAAAAGAAACTTAAGAATATAAATGTACTCTCTTGAGCATGTCTTAACCTACACCTACTTCCTCCCTCCTTTTATTTCCCCAGAAAATTTGCTTTACTTCACCGACAACAAAAGAACCCAAATGCATAAAACCCACTAAAGCAAAAGGTCATTTTCCTAGGAGATAAAAAGCTAGACTCCTTCATCATTTTTTGGCCAACTCTTTAGTGTTAGGACAATAATTCCTTCACTACGAATTGCAATAGCAGACTTATCTGAAGAAATAGATGCAGGAACTCAAGAACGTATTATGAGATTTTGCCAAGCAGTAAACTGCCCAAAAGAGATTAACAGGCAGAGGCCCGGGCTCCTGAGACATCAGACTCCACATCTGGGTTGGGGTCACTCCCCTTCCTGTGCCGCTGCTTAGTCACGGCCTGACGCCAGTGCTGCAGGTCCTCATCACCCCTCAGCCCCTCTGACCTGCTGCGACACCGAGTTATCCCACAGACATTCTCTCTCCGGGAGCTAATGCTTCCATTTCCCCAAAGTCATTGATTACTTGTATATTATATAAGTTCTCAGCAAAGTGTCTATATGCCAGTTTCCAATCCTTGCAAATCTCTGAGCCAGGGGGAATTGTAACATTTCCCATGCCTCAGCTTATCAGTTTTTAAAGGATACTTAAAAAATTTCTGCCTTCCGAAATAAAACACACACATACACAAAGAGAGAGATAGATGTTTGCAAGCATGTGTGTATGTCTGTGTGTGCATGCGTGTGTATGAGTGTTCATCTGCGTGTGTATGGAGGCTGGAAAGCTAGCACAGGGGTTAAAGTGTTTGCCTTGCACACACAGATATATCAGACGTGTGTGTGTGTGTGCGTGTGTGTTTATCTGTGCCGGTGGGTGCGGGGTGGGGGGCTGGAGAGATAGTACAGGGGTTATAGTGTTTGCCTTGTGCACTCAGATATGCGTGTGTATGTTTGTGTTTATCTGTGGGGGGGGTGCTGGAGAGATAGCACAGGGGTTACAGTGCTCGCCTTGCACACTCAGATCTGTGTCTCTGTGTGTATCTGTGAGTGCGTGTATGGAGGCCGGAGAGAGTACAGAGGTTAAAGTGTTTGCCTTGCGCAAGGCTGACCCTGGTGCGATCCCCCGCATCGCATATGATCCTGTATAGGATCTTCTGAGAACCACGGGTGCGATTCCTGAGCACAGAACCAAGAGCAAGCCGCGACGAGCACCGCGAGATGTCACCCAAACCTTCTCCCAGCTTCCCCTCAGTTTCTGCTTCACAGAGTGGCAGGAATAAGGGAGACTGAGCGAGTCGGTTCTGAGCACCTGGGCCCTGCAGGGAGTGACAGCTGTCCCGCAGCGCGCTCACTGTGCCTGCTCTCCACACTCTTCTTTGGCACCCCGGACACTGGAGCCGGCCTGGGCCTCGGTCCTCTCACTCTCCTCCACCTGGACTCTCCAGTAACTACGGTCCCGTAGGAACCAGGGAACTCCAGCGGTCTAACTGCCTCACTCCGGGCCCCTCTGCCGGGCTTCTCTCTAGGCCCTTCGTGCTACGTCAGCGATATTCTTCCACAAAATCCCTCCTCAGGTCACTCTCAAGTTTCTCACAACCCCACAGGCTCTTAGGGTTAGCCCCCCAAGCCCACACGGCCTCCCTGGTTGAATAACTACCTCACGTGCCTCACATCACCCCATCACTCTCAAGGCCCGCTTCCTGCGGAGTACTTTCATTTAAAGCCCCGTGCACTCACCCCAGTGCTCCGTGCATGTGCTGCCCCCATCCCCGGGCCCCTGCCAAGCCTCCTCCTGCCCTGGCCTGTTCCCACCTGACAGCGATTCCCGATTTCTCAGCAAGCCTCTGCTGACCACACATTCGCCCTGAGCTCTAATTAGCTTCACGTTTGGCCCTACTGATCACCAATTCCCTGTTCATTTGTTAATGATTTGATTAGTACTTGTTTGATTAGTACTCACCTAGACTGGATACTTCTCAGCACGTGGTTGGGTCTGCCTTTACTCACCCAATATATCCATGACACAATCATTAATGATTTAACATTCCTGTTTGCACAATGTTTAAACACACACACACACACACACACACACACACACACACAGAGTGTGGGTGGAACAAACAGATACTGAAATTCTAACGTAGACCTGAAGTAGGAGCACTTGAGAGAGCAACCATTAAACCCATAATTAGTTTCTGATTATGAGACAGACTGACTATATATAATAGGTTCTTGTTTTATGGCCTTCAAATTGTCACTAGCCTTTAGAGAGTGATTTTTATCATAAACTAACAAAACTGTTACATTTTTTCCAATTACAGGGTTAATACACATTCATGCTGAGGAGACCATGACTAATATGCTAAGAAAGAACAGGTTTTTGTGACCACAGGCTTGAAAACAAGACCCCAGAGGTTCCCAAACTTACTTGGCCAACTGTGCCCTTTTCAGAAAAATTAAAATAAAATAAAAAATAATTTAAAAAAATAATTTTAAAAAAATAAACATAATTTTAAAAGAATAAAAAGAAAAACTCACTCAGCCCTCTCCCAGAAATCTATCTTCTTTAAAATGAACAAACAGAAAGGAACTGTTTGTCCCCACCCTGGCCACACACACACACACACACAATTAGTGCTGCACCCCTGGATTGTGCCAGTGGCTCCAGGGGTGGCCCCACTCTTCTGGAAACACTGCCCTAGATCTTGGTTTACCCACAAGCCAGGAAAGACAACCTGAGAGGTCATCTGTGGGGTCGGGGGATAAAATATTCCAGCACTGACGGCTGCTCATATAGTCCAATGTCAACAATGAAAATGCCATGCTTCACAGCTAGAGAGAATGCTACCAGTCTATGTTGACTAGGTTGGCAGCGTATTTTCTATTAATATAAAACTTTCTGGCTCACTCCAGCAATCCGGGGATCTCTCCACAAAATAGGAGCAGAGCTCCTATACCACCAAGCAACCATTCTTCTTACCATTTATCCCCCAAACACTAACGCATTAATTTGAAAGGAGAGATGCACACCCACGTTCATCACAGGACTTAGTATAAGAGCCAAGATATGGAAACAACCCAAAAGCCCAACCACAGATGAGTGCAAACAGAGTTGTGGTGTATACATGTGATGGAATATGATGCAGCTTTAAGAAAGAACAAAATCACGCAATATGCTGTACCATTCCAGGTGTATGGGGGGCTGGGGGAGTCTTGAAAGGGAGAAGAACTGGGGTGCAAAGGGGAGGAGGTGGACACACTGGTGAGGGGTGGGTGTGGTGTTTTGGAATTGCGTACACAGGAAACCCATTGTTTATAGTACTGCAATTCACAGAACCTCAATCCATAAAACAATTTCTGGCTGATCAATTTATACTTCTGTCACCTTTTCCCCATCGCAAATGTCAGGATCCTGGGCAGAATTGAGTTTTAATAAAAAGGAAACAATAACTGACATACTTTAGAAAAGAACTCTGAAAGGGGTTTTATTAGATCTGTACTTAAAGTAACTAAGCAAGACAACCATGACAAGAAATCACAGAATTTTAACAGGCATGCCCATTTCAATTTACATACCAGTTCTTTAATTCACCAGTGTTATTTAGAGGAAGGCTTCCACTTTCAGTTTTACTTCAAGCTTTTTTTTATATATATTGTTAATAGAAAGATTAATCTGATTAAAATATTTACACTGAAGGGATTTCCTTTGGTAACTTAAATGTTTTTTAAAATCCTTTAATCAGTTTTTTGTCATTCAGGTGCATCGAGAGTGCCAGCCCCCAGTCTGCTCCAAGACTTCTGCTGTGGGGACCTTATGGAGTCCCCCAGACTGAGGAAGCCCCTCCCAAAGACTCTCACCCCAAACCACGCATTAGCATCCAAACATTATCGCAACCCCTCATCCTTATCAATCTCAAGATTTCTTGAAGAGTTCGAGTTCAAGAGTTATACCTTTCCTCAAATATGTCTATTTTAACCCTTCTATACAAAAGGATGTAGCATGACCAGTGAAGTAACATCGGAAGAGCACAAAAATAACAAATTAGATCAGACCTTAGATATCTGACATCTTAAATTCAAACCGTAGCACCCACAAATCTTTAGGAACAATGGTGAAAAGAAAGATTTCACCTGCTCTGGCAGACAGAGACAGAAGTCTTGGTAAGTCACTGAACTCAATCAAATAAACCCTCAAGCCTCATTGATGAGGGACTCAAATCAATGCTCCACACAATGGCCATGGAACAATCACTGGAAGAAAACTGCAGCCAACTTAAAGATGAACTGATCCAGGGTATCAGAGAGTTTTTACAAATGCGATGGAAGAAGTTCCAACGTACATCAGCCAGTCACAGTAACAGAACTCAACATGCAGAGGAGCATATCGGAGATACTGAAGACAAAGTACTAGCCATCACTAATGATGAAGTTAAAACAGAAGTCCCCATCCCCCTGTTCTTCTGGGAGCCTGGCAGTCATGCCCATGGACTGCCTCTGGCATCATATAAGCTCATTAACCGGCCATGATTCAAGACTCACAGATAAATCTCGAAAGAGATCAACAATCTTCAGCAATGCCTCCAGACCCCACATTTATGAGTCTCATCTGGGGCACCTTGGAAGGGGAAGGTGAGCCTACCGCCCACCCAAACAGAGCCCTGGCAGCCAAATATCTCCAAACCCATGATCTAGAGACTCATAAATAAAATCTAAAGAGATCAACAAGCTTCAGAGATGCTTCCAGACCCCAAGGTCACCATTCAGTTAAAAAGTTAACTGCAGCTTATATCACCACACTTCCATGTGACATCCTACCAGTCAGGAAAGAGTGAAATGACATAATCCAAAGTACTGACTGGAAAAAAAAAAAGTTCCAGCCTAGAGTCCACTACTCTGCAAAGCTATCTTTAGACTGAATTCCTGGAGTGTGACATCTCACACTCTACACCGCTGATATAGCAGGAGTAGCACACCAGGGTTGATGAGACACAAAGCAGAAGGCAACCAATCTCGATTAAGGAAATATTGGCACGCAAGGCTCAGCCTGTAACAACATGTTAGTAATCTCTTCTACTAGTGATCTCTTCTTTAACGGCTCCAGGGTGAGATACAACAATTCGTACACACTTTCTTCTAAAGAAATCTTTATTTGATTATTTTTAGTGAATACTCATAACAAGAAATACAAAATAAATTGTTTAGGGCCGGTTAGCGGGGCAGGCTCGGGTGGTGGTTGGGAAAATTCAAAATAATGGTGGTGGGAAGGTGTAATGATGGTGGGACTGATGATGGAGTATTAATGTAACAAATCATCATGAACAACTTTATCAAAATTAAATTAAATAAAAAAATAGATTTTTAAAAAGAAAAAAGAAAAGTAAATGAATGGTAGGGAATTTAAGAGTCTTACTAGACAATAGCAAGACAAAAAATCTAATCACCGGAACACCAGAAGAACAAAGAGGGAAGGGGAAGAACAGCTGGTCAAAAAGTAATAACTGAGAATTTTCCTGGTATCTTGAGAGCCGCTCCCACACGGACTCAGGAGGCTCAAAGAGCACCAAACAAAACAGACTTAAACAGAAGAACGCTAAGACACACAGTAATCAAAATGGTAAACTCGAAAGACAAAGACAGATCACCTAAAGGAGCAAGAGAAGAAAACCCTCGAATATAAGGGGGAAAAAACACATTAAGAATCATAGCGGACCTTACATGTGACATCCGACAAGCCAGGAAAGAGTAGAATAACATTTTCAAAGTTCTGACTGAAAAGAAGCTTCTAGCCTAGCCTGCTCTGCAGAGCTGTCATTTAGATTTGAGGGAGGGATAAGAACCTTTTCAGACAAACAAGAGCTGGCAGCATTTGCAACAACTAAACCAATCCTGAAAGACTTACTCAAAGGACTCATAAAAAAAGAGTCTTGCAAAAACAACTGGATCTCTCTCTCTCTCTCTCTCTCTCTCTCTCTCTCTCTCTCTCTTTCTCTCTCTTTCTCACACACACACAAACACACACACACACACAGGCAACAAAGCCCTTTATATCAATAATCTTTCTAAATGTCATTGGACTAAATAAACTTCCCTCTAAAAAAGCAAAGGGTAGCTGGATGGATCAGGGAAGAAAATCCATCCATTTGCTATCTAAAGGAAACACACCTAAACTCTCAGGTTAAAATCCTCAAAATCCTTTAATCATCACTATTATATTTTCCCCCAGATTTTTCACCTAAATTTCTTACAGAAGTTAGAATTCAATTTGAACAAGATTAAACTGAAATCAATACCTGATTGATATCCTGTCTCTTCCATTTCTCTAACTTCCATTCTGAAAGACACAAAAGTTGATTTATGATTGAAGAAAGAGTAAGTCACACGTTATTATAAGTTGTATGAGTTCCAAACGAAAGTATCGAAAACTGGATTTTAATGCAAAAACGAACAAAAAGAGTACTTAAAAAGGAAGAACTGTTTTTCTGAGGTTTTTTAGGGGGCGTGTGGGCGGAGAGGATGGGGGGAGAGGGAGATACCCGGCAGTGCTCAGGGGTTGCTCCTAGCTCTGCACTCAGGAATCACCCTTGGCGGGCCACAAGGGGTGTCAGGTATCGAACCCAGATGTCCTTGGAAGGCTATTCCTGCGTCGGTGCTCAGGGTGACCCTAGCAGTACTTGGGGACCTTGAACCCCTGTACTGTGACTCCAGCCAGATGACACAAATATTAAAATGAAAACTCTAACTTGAAACTAAACTTTGGGCTTAAACTAAACTTTGGGCTTGTTTTCACATGTTACATTTATTTTTTAAGAAAGCAGAATTAAACATTGGTGAGTGACAGTGGTCCAGCTAAACATCCAAACCAGAGTCAGCAATGCTGGGAACACCAGTGGTGGGTTTGGTGCTAGAACAAATACAATATGTCTAAAACTCATCATCAATACCTCTATAGATCATAGCTCTTAAATGAAATTTTTAAAAACAGAATTAGGGGCAGAGAGATAGTATGGTGGGTAGGGTGCCTGCCTTGAACCGCCAACCCTATTTTGATCTCCGGCACCACAGACGGTCTCCCGAGTCCTGCTAGGAGTGATCCCTGAGCACAGAGCTAGGAGTAAGCCCTCCCTACCTTTGGGCGTGGCTCAAAAACAAAGAATTAAATACCGATACCTTTCAAAAATGTGTCATCAAATTCCTGGGCTGACACGGTTTGGGGATACTTGATTCCAGCTCCCCAAGCGACAAAAGGGGTTAAAGTCTCTGAAGGATGACCAGCTCCATGGCTACCTACAGAAGAAAGGAAAAAGAAAGAGAACTAATTATTCATGAGTATTCATTCAACAATTGTTTGACTTGAGAGTTGATCCATATCAAACCAATTCTGACTACAACACTACCAAAGGTTTGCAAAGGTTTTTCCCAGCACCAACAGGCAAAAACAAAAACAGTAGGTTTAGTGATTGGTTAAATAACAACAGGAATATTAACAACTATAAAATAAGGATGAAATGCCACTAAAATAGCAACGAAGGCTAATGAATAAGAAAAATCATTTGGGGGAGTAGGTCAAGACTGGAGAAGGAGCTGAGGCCCGCTCTATCCTGGAGAGAATGCAGAAGTTTCTCCCTCCCTCTGTCCCTCCGTCCCTCCGTCCTTCCCTCCCTCCCTTCCCCTGGAGAGAATACAGAAATTTCTTCTTCCTTCCTTCCTTCCTTCCTTCCTTCCTTCCCTCCCTTCCTCCCTTTCTTCCTTCCCTCCTTCCTCCCTCCCTCCCTTTTTCCCTCTCTCCCTCCCTCCCTCCCTCCCTTCCTTCCTTCCTTCCTTCCTTCCTTCCCTCCCTCCCTCCCTTCCTCCCTTTCTTCCTTCCCTCCTTCCTCCCTCCCTCCCTTTTTCCCTCTCACCCTTCCTTCCTTCCTTCCTTCCTTCCTTCCTTCCTTTCCTCCCTCCCTCCCTCCCTTTTTTCCTTCCCTCCTTCTCCCTCCCTCCCTTTTTCCCTCTCACCCTCCCTCCCTCCCTCCCTCCCTTCCTTCCTTCCTTCCTCTCCAGCTGAAAGTAAAGGCCAAATCATATCAGTTCAGTACAATTCAGCTCTGTGATCTGAGGAGCCAAACCTACCGGTGGTCTTATTTTGTTCTCCGCGTTAACACTGTATTTATCCTGGGGGCCTCTAGGAAGGTCAGGTTCACCCAGAGATTTCCAGTGATCCCGGGTCCTTTGATAAAACCACCTGAACTTGAGCAACCTTTGCCATCATATATAATATTAGGTATTTTTTGCTTTCTTCTCCACTCATTTTTTTATAGTTTCTCATTTGAAAAAAAAAAAGATTTCTTTTATAGTTGTAAAAACTTCTCTGTATAACTCTATATTCTCAGTTCATTTTATACTAACATTTTAGGCATGCAATTATGTGCTAGACAGAACTTTTGCATGTACTGAACCATCTTACCACTTCAACATATGATATCTGGAGCTATATTTGCCTCTATTTTAATTATAAGCACAAAGAAAACACAGACTAACCCCATGCTGTCATTCCATGATCAGAGGTAAAGACAAATGCTGTTTTCGCATCATTTCCATAAAAATTATTTAAGAGGGATACGATTTCTTTTACTCCTTCATCAACCTTTCTAATATTGTCTTTATATTCCCTGTTTAAAAAGAAATTAAAAAAAAGTAAAAAGAAATGGAAAATCTGAGCAAAATAATAGGGAAAAATACAATTTATTCAGCATGATATTCAAACAATAATTCCTAGAATACATTAAGATTTCATCTTCAATATTTTATCAAAACTCTTTAGCTCTTTTTTTTTGGGGGGGGGGTCACACCTGGCGACGCACAGGGGTTACTCCTGGCTCTGCACTCAGGAACCACCCCTGGCAGTGCTCAGGGGACCATATGGCATGCTGGGAATCAAACCCGGGTCGGGCACGTGCAAGGCAAACGCCCTACCTGCTGTGCTATTGCTCCAGCCCCAAAACTCTTTAGCTCTTGAAAAAAATGTTATCTTTCTTTCTTTTTTTTGGGGTGGGGGGGTCACACCCAGCAATGCACAGGGGTTACTCCTGGTTCTGCACTCAGGAATTACCCCTGGCGGCAGGGGACCATATGGGATGCTGGGAATCGAACCCGGGTCAGCTGCGTGCAAGGCAAACGCCCTACCTGCGGTGCTATTGCTTCAGCCCAAAAAAATGTTTTCTTTAAAACGAAGCAAAAGAATGTAAAATTGGGGCTGGAGAGATCATACAGCAGGGAGGTGTTTGCCTTACACAAATCTGCCCAAGGCTTCGTCCCCAACACCCCATATGGTTCCCCCCACACCCTCAGACCACCAGTTGTGATCCCTCAAAGCCAGGATAAGCCTTGAGCACCGCGGAGTGTGGTCCAAACACAAAAGAAAGCACAACAAAAGAATCTGAAATTGCTTTCAGAAATGAATTTAAAGAGGTTACTAATTAGCAAGGGCTGGAGCACTAGCACAGCGGTAGGGCCGTTGCCTTGCATGCAGCCAGCCCAGCTGAGCTGGGTTCGATTCCTTCGCCCCTCTCGGAGAGCCCAGCAAGCTACTGAGAGTATCCCTCCCGCATGGCAAAGCCTGGCAAGCTCCCCGTGAAGTATTCCATAGGCCAAAAACAGCAACAACAAGTCTCGCAATGGAGACATTACTGGTGTCCACCCCAGCAAACTGAAGGGAGGACAGTGCTACAGTGTTACTAATTAGCAAATACATTTCAACGGATGCTTTTTAACTCTCCAATGTGATAATGGTGACTTTCAAGTTCATTCCCTTCTTAATGGTAGCTAGCACTGCTTACTATTAATTATTTGCATCCCTTAGAGTGTCTGGGATATAAAAGATAATATGATTATAAGACAATATAATGTCTGAACAAATCATATGGGACAAGCTTTCCATTCTGTTGAACACAGTGGTCCGGGGGTGGATTATAGCACTTAATCAGTGTATTACAATAAAGAAAAAGAACATGAAGCTTTCATTATTGGTAACTAGCGCATAGACCTTACAACTATATAAAAAGGTAGACTAAAATCAACTAATTACCAATAAGGAATAAAGGTATAACTTGAATTTTTTTCTCTTTCTGTGCTCTAGAATAATCAAATGTTTGCTACTCTATATAAGGAATACTACTGAAGCTTAATATGCAAGGTATTATACAACTATTTGCTACATACAATAATGAGTAAATAGAAAGCACATAGAATAGAAAACGTGTGGGTTTGTGACAGAAGTACCAGCACCATAAGATACTTTCAAAGATTTACTAAAATATGTCTAAAATATGGTTTTTCTCTGTCATCAGCATATGTACAGAATATAATTCATTTTTATTAATACGAATTCTGGCCACTTTACACAAGATTTATGCTACTAAATCGTATTACAGCTCATACACGTGAGTTCTACTCCTGAGTTATTTGAAATACAAATTCCGTTGTGATCATTATAAACTAAACACAATCTTTAGAAAGTTCAAACTGAACAGTTTTGTATCCCTGAAATACAAGAAATCCTTCCCCCCCATCCCCCCTCCTCCTAACTAAGGTTCCGAAGTGCACTGGAATCTCCGTGGGAGCCAGTGAGACAGGACACAGACTAAGGCACTTTACTGGCACATTCCTGATCCTGCTCGGGTCCTAGGCCCTGTGAGGCTCCCTAGCACCCCGGCCAGCAACCCACTGCACAGAGAGCCAAGGGAGCACCCCTTTCTCAGAACTACAGGGTGACCCAAACCCCCGCCCACCAAGAAATTACCTTGACGATGGCCGGTGAGCATGTCCATTTGTATCTATTCCCACCAAATGTAAGAAAAAAACTATTTTCTCTTCATTTAGTTGAGAAAGCAAAGACTGATTCTTTTTGGCAGAATGAAAGAATTCCTACAGGAAACAAATATTTTAAAAAATTAATTCATTTATTTTTAAAATAATGCAGATTAATGCACTGACTAAGTTTGTACATATTAAAATGAAACTACCTTATTTTGTTTACAGCTATCCTCAGGATTTACTAACACAAAGTGATTATTATTAGAATCCCTACAAAATCTAATCTCAAATAACAAAATAAGAAACCCACTATTTTCTGTTAAAATTAGTGCCCTTCCCTCCGGAAAAAAAATTTAGAAAGAAAATCTTATTGTATACCTGAAACTGTACTATGAATAACTCTGCAAATAATGGTGCCTTAATAAAAATAAAAAGAAGAAAGAAGACTTTGTTTTCGTGAAGATTTCATAACGTCAACAACCATGATTCTAATAGTCCAAGAGACTAAAGAAAATTTTGATAAGAGCTAAATTATGCATTAAATGTAATTTGAAAATTATTTTTCATTGAAGTGAAAATTTTCTATCACAATGTGAAGAACAGTTTCTAATCTTAGGGTAAAGAATTAAGAGCTAGCTGTAATGTTTCAAAGGAGAGTCATGCTTGGATTAGGGCTGTAACAGGCAGGAGAACAAGAAGCAGCCGTCTCTGAAAGTATTTTGAAATGATAAAACACAACTGTTGCTACTAGCCCTCTTAATTTAGCTCTTATCAAAATCTTCCCTCAATATTTAATATTCTTACTCTTACCGACCTCTACTTTTTCCTAGCCTCTTCTTCTCAAAGTTATTTGTTCATTTCTGTACTCAGCAAATGTTTAGAATAAATCATGATCATTACAGACTGCAGGATGAGAACACCAAGGTACATTCTCCCATTCTAAGTAAAATCTTCTGATTTGTTTGGGGGCCACACATGGTGGTGCTCAGGGATTACTCTTGAGCCTCTGCACTCAGGCATCACCCCTGGTGGGCTCAGAAGCCCTTACAATATGTCAGGGATCGAACCCAGTCAGCCACATGCAAGGCAAGCATCTTACCCATTGTGCTGTCTCTTTCTCCCCATCCTCTGATTATATGGGAGGTGTCAATGCACGTATTTCTGAGGTTGGAAATTTAGTACAGAGGTTAAGACACTTGCCTTGCATGTGGTGATTTCTAGTTTGAGCCCCAAAACTGATATGGTCCCCAGTGCACCACCATTAAGATTCCTGAACACAGAGCCAGGAATAAACCCTGAGCACTACTGGAATAGATCAAAAACAAATCAAATATATATCCTGACCCGCATTTGGGAAGTAGGGTTACCAGAATTTAAGTCAAACATCTCAGTTAAAGGCTATATGGGAATTAAGGTTTTTAGAAATGCATCATTTTACAGGCCACAGCCATAGCACAGTGGGAAGAGCGTTTGCCTTGCACATAGCAGACTTGGGTTCAATTCCCAGCATCCCATATGGTTCCCGAGCACTACCAGGAGTAAGCCCTGAGCATCACCGGGTGTGACCAAAAAGCCAAAAAAGAAAAAAAAATTTTATTTTAGTAAAAGAGATGCTTTCTTTTTTATTCCTTATTCTTTAAAGAAATGGATGAAACTTTTGGCCCTCTTAGACAAAAAGATATTGAAGATAAAAAGCATGCACTGAGGATGAAAGAGAAATTGCAGAGACCAGCTCTTAACAAAATTTGGAACCTCTCTGGCCATTCTGACTGCATCAATTATCTACTTCAGGCATTATGTCCATTATCTTCAAGATAGAAAATATTTCTATTAGGGGCCAAGAGAGAGTACAGTGGGTTGGGTGACTGTCTTCTATGCAGCTGACCGGGGTTCAGTCCTGGGCATACTGTATGATCTTACAAGTCCCACCTGTGTTCATCTATTCTTTGATAAGCTCTGTTTTATCAGGGTTTTGAATTAAGCAAGACATGTTTCTTACAACTGACGAATCGTAAATTATCATTTGGAGTTGTAAACACTGAATTGGGGGAAAAAAAGTCCAGATTTCAGACTTTCACACAATTTTTGAAAATATAGATTCTTTTGGAGACCTAGCAAATCTGTCATAATAGTCATTCAGAGATCAAAATGCCCAGGACTAGAGATAGAGTAGAGAAGGCATTTGTCTTTTATGTAACTGACCCTAGTTTAATTCACAGCACTGCATAAGGTACCCTGAGTCACCAGTGATTCCTAAGCAAAGAGCCAAGAGGAACCCTTAATCACACTCAGATGTGGCCCAACAATCTCAAAAACAAAAGGTAAAGGTAAAGGCCCTCCCGTTGATCGTCGATTTCCTCGAGCAGGCCCAGTAACGTCTCCATTGGAGACTTTGTTGTTACTGTGTCTGGCATATCGAATACTCTCGGTAGCTTGCCGGGCTCTCCGAGAGGGGCGGAGGACTCGAACTCGGGTCGGCCATGTTGGCCGCTTGTAAGGCGAACGCCCTACCCGCTGTGCTATCGCTCCAGCCAAAAACAAAAAACAAAACAACAACAAAAAAAAAACCCTCAGTAAGAAAACTCATCTTATTATTAAAAATTTGCTCATTTGTTTATTTTGATGGAGTAATAGCACAGCGGGGTAGAGCGTTTGCCTTGCATTCGATTCCTCTGCCCCTCTCGGAGAGCCCAGCAAGCTACTCAAGAGTATCTCGCCCGTGGGGGCTGGAGCAATAGCACAGCGGGTAGGGCGTCTGCCTTGCATGCAGCTGACCTGGGTTCGATTCCCAGCATCCCATATGGTCCCCTGAGCACCGCCAGGGGTGATTCCTGAGTGCAGAACCAGGAGTAACCCCTGTGCATCGCCAGGTGTGACCCAAAAAGCAAAAAAAAAAAAAAAAAAAAAAAGAGTATCTTGCCCTCAAGGCAAATCCTGGCAAGCTCCCCGTGATGTACTGGATATGCCAAACATAGTAACAACAAGTCTCACAACGGAGACGTTACTGGGCCCGCTTGAGCAAATCGATGAACAACGGGAAGAGAGTGCTACGGTGCTTATTTTGCTGATATTTTTCTGGCAAGTACAATTGTAAACATCTATTGTGTGCTACCATTAGTGCATCTAGCTCTTCAGCACACATGTCAAAAGGCTTTTGCGTGTCTTTATAGTCCAACCACTATTGACGAGGCCTCATTTTACTGTCAGAAACAGAATTCTGAAAGTTCTGAAAGGCTCCTTTTGAAACTATGTTTCAAAATTTTCTACTAATTGGTTATTGTGGAATCTTTAATTTCTTAAAAGTCTTTTTAAAATGTTGTGTCATAATATTAAATATTCAAGTTCATGCAGGTACAAAAGAAGACTAAGATGCATTTGCTGATCAGTATCTCGTACTTTAGGACACGTGAGCGTTGAATCGCTCAAGTATACACACCTTAAAAGTATTAAAAACCCAGGTATCCAGGTGCGCTGCGTCACTGGCACCAAAATCCTCACTGCGAGAGGCATAACCATCCATAAACACATGGTTTCCACTAGCACCTGAGAAGAAAAGTTGGGGAAAACACTGTAATAGTCTTTCTAACCATCAAAACATGAAATAGCTCTTTAGTGTTATTTGTAACCAGGATTTATCACAAAATATTTTGTAATGAGGAGGAGAAAGATGAGAGGAATACATAACAATTATTTATCTTACGTGTTACAAATTTTTAGCACTTTTTTTCATTGTTGTCACAGTAAAATATTCTTACCTAATTGATATAATGCATGTAAGCTATTTAACCTCGTAAGTCACAAAACTAACATATACGATAGCACAACATAACAGTTAATTGGTTTTGTCTCTAGGTAATGATTAAACTATTTAAAGTTTTTTTGCAACTTTTGTGCATTCTAAACTAGACAAGGTCATTTTGCTTACAAAACTTACTAAAACAAGAAGAAAACTCAAATATTTCACTACTCTTATTCATGGAATATGCATATTTTCTCAGTATAATAAATTTATCCCAAAATATTCTTACTGGTAGCTTGAAGGAGAAATAAAATTGTTATGCTTATATAATTATTTATAAAAATTTCACATAAAATACTCTTATATGATACAATCTTCCACACATATCACATATTATTTGAGTGTAAAGACCAGAGTCAGAGAGATAACTCAAGGGCTGAGAACATGCTTTACATGCAGGAAGTCGAGGTTCAATCCTGAACACCTCATTCTTCCCTGAGCACTGCCAGGAGTGACTCCGGAGCACCATGACATGTAGCCCTTAAGCCCAAGCACTTCTAACCCACGTCAAAATGAAAACATAATCTAATAGCCTTAGTGAGTTTCTAAACTGTTATATGCCAGGGACACAACAAAGTAAAAACAATCTCTTCATAGTTCAGACTAAACTACTGCACTAACGTGGTTACTGAACCATTCTCATTTCCTTACCTAAGTAGAGATTTGAGTGGGTTTGTTGGTTACCGTACAACATGGATATTCCTACTACACTGTCTCCAATGCAGGCAATGGTCTGCTCTGTCAACAGCAGCCAAAAGTAGGAAGGGAAGTCTCGGGAGGCAGAGCAATGCAACCCACCCTTACCACCAGCCCCGTCCCCTAATGTGCTACACAAGCAAATGGAATGCAACTGATTTTAGAAAATTAAAAAAAAAATTTATAATAACCGGTGTTCTAGGGACAGAGACAACTCAGGGGTTGGAGGACATGTTCTGCAAGGCAGGAGTCCCAGGTCTGATGTCCACCATTATGTGGTTCCCATGAAGGACCTCCAGGTGCTTGAGCCCAAGCACCAAGCCAAGAGTAGCCCCTAAGTGTGGCACAAAGTATTTTCTAAATTCTAGTACTTGAAAATTCATGCACAGATAAAAAATACAATAAATCCAATGACACAGCCTTCGATATACAAAATACGATGGATATGGGCCCAACAGATAGTACAAACACTTCTTGCCTTTTATGCGGTTAATCTGGGTTCTGTCCCCAGAACCATATACGGTTCAACAAGCACCATTGGGAGTGATTCCTGAGCAGGCGTAAGCTTTAACACTGCTGGGTGTGGTCCCAAAACACCAAAACAAAATAAAATGAGAAGCACAAACATTTTAACAGTATACCTTTGTGTAAATATCATAAGCTTTTGGGGGATTGTGATATTCACACAACAGGACATTGAGCCACACCTGGTGATCTTCAGGGCTTACTCCTGAATTGGTTCTCAGGGGTCAGTCCTGACAGTACTCAGGGGACCTTGCGCAGTACTGAGGATTGACCTGGAGTCAGCTGCATTAAGGCAAGCACCTTACCTCCTGGACATTCTCTCTAGCCACAAATTCTTTTTTTTTTTTTTCAAATTTTTATCAGTGAAACACCATGATAAAAGGTACAGTTGTAGATTTACAAATTTCCGTGCTTGGGTTTCAATCATACAATGATCAAACACCCATCTCTCCACCAGTGCCCATCCTCCACCACCATGGGTCCCAGCATCCCTCCCACCCCCCAACCCTCCATCCCACCCTGCCTCTGTGGCAGGGCATTCCCTTTTGTTCTCTCTCTCCTTTCGGGTGTTATGGTTTGCAAAAGAGGCAATTGGTGGCACTCATGTTTGGTCTATAGTCTACTTTCAGCATGCTTCTCCCATCCTGGGAGGACCCTCCCAACACCCTTTATTTGGTGTTCCCTTCTCTATCTGAGTTCCCTTTTCCCCTAGAATGTGTCTAGCCACAGATTCTTAATTTAAGAAGATAAAATAAACCAGACATTAACATTGCCATTACAATAAATTATGAGATAATATATTACTAATATATTACTAAATGTTCCACATGTATTACCTAACTTAATCCAAATCCCTGAGATTTTATCAAAGGAAAACTGAAGATAAGTTGACCATTTCAGTTTATCATCTCATCAAAATCTAAGATACTGACAATCATATGATTTGCCAATACCTCGAGTACAAGTGCAGCTAAGGAGGAAAAAATCTACCTTGTTTAGCCATAATAATACACATCCCTATTTCAGAGAAGTTAAATATGTAGAACTATAAATCTCAAAATCAGCAAACGGGTCTTAAAATTACCATGCTAACTTATAACTTATCACCTTTAAACAGAGGAAACATCAATAAATAAATACAACAACAACAAAATAAATAAAAAATAAACAGAAGAAACACCAATGATTCTTACCTTTGACAAACATAGATAAGATATCTGAACTTCCCCAGCTCCATGTGTATTTGCTCTCATTAAAAAGAGAATCAAATTCTACAGGATTTTCCTTCCATCCTTCAAATATAGAGGGAACAAAAAGCAAGAAATAACAGCATTACATGGACATGGAAAAGAATTAGCATAGACCATAAGTGAATATTGTTAAAATAAAAACAACAATTCCTGGGGCAGGAGCGCTTGCCCTACACACTGTACTGCATGTGACCAAACTGGCAAACTGGGTTTAACCCCCGGCATCCCATATGGTCCCGTGTAAATCCTGGTGTAAATCCTGAGTGCAGAGCTAGGAGCAAGCCCTGAGTACCACCAGGTGTGGTCCCAAACCAAAGGTAAATAAGTAAACAAAAGTGTTAAATATTTAAAAAATTAAAAACAATAATTGCAGACTAAAAAGAAATAATAGATTTAACGCAACTCTTTTAAAAAACAGCAGGAAAAATTACCTTTTTTTTTTTTTTTTTTTGGTTTTTGGGTCACACCCGGCGATGCTCAGGGTTTACTCCTGGTTCTGCACTCAGGAATCACCCCTGGCGATGCTCGGGGGACCATATGAGATGCTGGGAATCGAACCCAGGTCAGCTGCGTGCAAGACAAATGCCCTACCCACATTTCCTATTGCTATTGCTATTGCTCCAGCCCCAAGAAAATTTATTTCTTATTAAAATATAGAATTATTTTTGAACTTTCAAGAGTTAACATTTAGGCCAACCATGGATCCACATACTCATATCCTCTCTATAGTACAAAGTGATAAAGACTAGAGCTTAATTATTTTTATAGTTTATAAGCCATGTTTTAAAAATTAGTATAGTTTAGGTAACATGGTAACATTTGTGGTTTTAACATAGTTACTGTACCACACCACCAAGTACCCAAGACCCTCTACGTCTACTCATGTTACTTCTAGTCTGCCTCTTCCTTCCCCACTCCTTCCCCTCTCCCCCCACTGCTTGGCAATCTCTATTAAGTAATCCAAGCATTTCTCGTCCTTCAATTCTGCCCATTTCCTTGTTTAGTTGTGCCACAGACCAGTGAGATCATGGGCGTTGGTCCTTCTCCTCTGACTTATTCCACTTAACATGAAACACTCCAACCCCCGTCAAAGTTGCAGGGAACCTCAATAGTTCATCATCTCTTACACCGACACAGTGTTCCACAACGCACGTATGGGACATCTTTATCCATTCATCTGCCATTGGACATTCGGATTTTTTCCACACCCTGACCATTGTTCTAAGCACTTCAATATACATTGATATGCATATATCTTTTCAAATGAATGTTTTTTTTGTATTTGGGGGGTAGGTACTAAGAAGTGAAATCTCTGGGTTACATGTAAGCTCTAATCTTACATTTGGGAGTGTTGGGTTTGGGGGCCACATCCTATAGAGCTCAGGGGCTATTCCTGGCTTGGTGCTCAAAACTGAGGATTCAAACCAAGGTTGGCCACAATCAAAGCAAGAACCTGTCCCCTTGTACTATCTCTCCAGCACTCTACTCTTACTTTTAGAGATATTCTTTCCCATGGAGGTTGAACCTGACGAGCCTATCAGTGAAGGAAAGTTCCCTTTTCACCACATCCCCACCAGCACTATTTGTTTCTACTCTTTTTAACACATGTCAATTTCACTGGTGTGAGATGATATCTCACTGTCATTTTAGTTTACATTTCCCTGATATAACTGATGACAGACATTTGTTTCATATGCCTACTGGCCTTATGTCCTCCTTGAAGACATGTCATTCATGTCCTCCCCCATTTTTTTGAGATGGTGCTACTGGTTTTTCCAGTGTTGAGTTTGGCAAAACTTAATTTTTGAATTAACACCACTGTCTATATACGGGCATGTTGAAATATTTGCCAAAAATATCTCAAAATGCTTCATTTTATATCATGATTCAGTACTAAAGAAGCAGTATTTCTATAGAAATTTTAACATGATACACTTATCTCAATCGATAATACCTTTGGCAACTGCACTGACATCTTCATAAAAGCCAGCTATCAGGGCCACATGACCCGGCCGGGATTCGGTTGGCATACGCGTGTGAGAGATCCCCCAGCTACCTTCGTTCATTATGATATTCCTAAAAAAATTAACAATGAATAGTTAGCATATATCATGACTGAATGCCCTACATAGGCTTCAGAAAATAAGAAAGCTGCTGCCAATTAAGCCGACTTGCTCTCTGTTCTAGGGGACCCTGTACAATGGCTGCAAAGGGCAAGTGACATCCCGGGCAGTGTAGCAGCCTGTGGCTTGTCTGGGCTATTCTCAGGGACCTTGGGGACTGTCCTCTGCAGTGGGCGTTCATATCTGCTCTGGTGCTGGCCCAGTCTCAGGCTCAGAGGTCTGGGGGCGGGGGAGGGGTGGCGGGCAGCCCCAGGGCACCGCAGCCAGGGTCCATACTGGTCAAGTCATCATGTCCATCCGCACCAAACTGCAGGACAGAGACCATGTACTGAGATTCTGCCCTGGGTCAAGTTCAAGTTCCCTGGACGCCAGAAGATCCACATCCCAAGAAGGGAGGTTTTACCAAGTTAGTGCAGAGGAGTTGAAGTCACAGGGGCCAAAAGGTGGCTCGTCCCTTTGGATGGATTGTTTGGCACTGGATGGATCTGTTTGTATCTGATTGCTGTGGGGTCACATACACCCCTGATCAGGAGCCTCTGGACAGATGGAAGCACAGCTCTCCCAAGAGCCTTGGACCTGTCCCCACTGAGTCCCTGCTCCCACCCCAGCCCTCAACATCCTATCTGACCCCACCAGAGTAAATCCTACTTCTTAACCAAACCCCAAAAATGGTGTTAAGGGAATAAAAACCAAAAAAAGGGAGTCGGGGGCTAGGGATGTAGCTCTGTGATAAGGAACAAGCTTCTCGGACACTGAGCGCCTCCCTCTCCCGGCTACCACCCCAGGTAACAAATAATTAAAAAAAAATTGAAAACAAACACATTCCCTGTCTGTTGTACTAATCTGTATTCTCTTTTTAATTAAAAGGCCTCCATAAAATAGGTCAACATAGTACAGGCAGCAGAGAGAGAAGCACCTGGAAAAAGACCAAAAAAATATCTTTCAAAATAAAGAGCAAGAAGACGTCTCCATGCATGCCTGGGATGGATCTGTTTGTATTAGGATGTTAGAACGGTGCAAAGTGGCCGGGGTGTGGCCAAGGACGGAAGGAAGGAGCCAACTGGCCTGCAGAGGTCACCCTGAGTCAGCAGGGTGGGGGTGGGCACCGGACCCTGTGCAGCACAGACCCTTCTAGACAGGAAATACTTCTCAGTGGGAGCTCATGGACACAGAGCCCAGGTAGACACCTGGCAGAAGGGGGAGGCCAGGTGGCCCCTAATCCTCTGTGGGCAGCACCTGAGGAAGGGCAGCCGGAGCCTGAAGGAAGTGGGGCGAATTCCCTTCACACGCAGCTCGCTGACAAAGGATTCGGAGATGGACAGGTTCTGCAGGGCCGGCAAGCTGGGGACAGGATGACAGCAGACCGCCCTTGAGTGTAGGGGAAGGGGACATTTTTCCCACTAAACTCTGTGACAGGCAATGAATCAACACTGCAGCTTCTTGCTTGTCATTATCTGAATTTCGAACAGGCTTCGGGGCTGCAGAGATGCATTCAGGGTAGAGCACGTGCTCGCATGCACGAGGCCCTGAGTTCTGAGTCTGCAGGCCGGCCAGGTGGAGCTCTGGGCGTCCCTGAGCACGGCTGCATGCGGCACCCGTGGCCTGAGCATGGCCAGCCTGGCAAGACGAGCTCTGCTGGGAGTGACCCCAGGGCCCTGAGCACGGCCAAGGGTGGCTACTAGAAAACATAGTTAGGGTTCGGGGCAGTTGTACACTGGGTAGGTTGCTTGCCTTGCATGTTGATGATCCAGGTTTGATCCCAGTCACCCAATATAGTCCCCTGAGCACCGCCAGGGCTGATCCCTGAGTGCAGAGCCAGGAGGAAGCCCTGAACACCATTGGTGTTGCCCAAAACACAAAAACAAAAAAAAGAGAAGATATATATATATATATATATCATATATATATATTTAAAATTGGCAGGTCTGTTTTATAAGAGAAAGAATAGACTGAGTGTGAGCTGAGCCTGAGAAATTAGGACAAGTTAAAGTAAGGAGCTAAGGTCATCCAATTACAATTAGCCCCTTAGCAACTTTCAGAATAACAGAAATAACTCTTAGGAAGGTGTAAACTCGCCAACCCGCCAATGTAAAGGTACACGTGTGCCCTGTTCTCCTCCTCCTCATCACTGCTATGCCCGGTGAGAGATAACCAGTATCAGGATAACATTTTCCAGAGAGGTCTCTGTATCAGTTGACAGGCTTACCTAATATATGGGGCTCTCGATTTTCCATTTTCATCTAGTTCGTAGCACGCATCTGCTCTCAGACCATCAGCAACAAAAAGCACCAATCTCTTTGCTGGAGGATGCAATGGTGTAAGCTGAGGAGTCATCCCATGAACCAAAGGAGATGTGAAATAAATATCAAAGATGGAGGCGAAGAACACAAAATGTACGAGCAATCCAGAAATAAAGAGCAGCAACATGTCCAGTGCAACTGAACTTCAAGAACAACTGAAAGAAGAAACGAAGTTTAAGTAAATCTTAATACGCTCATATACACTTTCACATAAGTTGATGATTCCATGTAAACTGATATTTTTAAATGCTACATAACTCATAACTTTCATTTGGGATGGGATGAGAACAATAAACTCTTAATACATGATAAAATACAATCAAGCCAATGATCATGAGGTAGTTACTGACTCTTAAAGTCACTCAAAAACTTGTTGTTTTTTTTTTTTACTTTTTGGGTCAATACACTGGCTCGGCTCTTCACTCGCTACCTGTCTGAATGCAAGGTTCCGTCCCAGTGGAAAACCAGCAGGACCGTACTACTGTTCAAGAAGGAGACATCCATGACATTGGCAACTATCGCCTGATCTGCCTATTGTCTGTCATCTACAAGTTGTTCACTCGAGTCATCCTGAATAGGATTGACAGAACACTAGATGAAGGACAACCATGCGAGCAAACCGGGTTCCGCAAAGGATTCAGCACCATCGACCATATCCACACGGTAACCAAGCTCATTGAGGTTTCTCGGGAGTTCAAGATGATGCTCTGCTTAACGTTCATTGATTTAAAGAAGGCCTTTGATTCTGTTGAGACGGAAGCGGTCATTGAAGCCCTAGCCAATCAGGGCATTCAAGCCCAATACATCAAGATCCTCCGTGAGCTGTATTGCGGATTCACTACCAGGATCTCACCATTCTACAAAGAAGTGATCGTTGATGTCAAGAGAGGGGTGCAGCAGGGTGATACCATTTCACCAAAACTCTTCAGTGCCACCCTCGAGAACATCATGCGACGACTGGAATGGGAAGGAATGGGAGTGAAGATAGATGGTCGGCAACTACACCACCTCCGCTTTGCTGATGACATTGTTTTAATAACACCAAACATCAGCCAAGCGGCACAAATGCTGGCCGACTTTGACCGTGAGTGTGGAAAGGCAGGACTACAGCTGAATCTTATGAAGACAATGTTCATGAGAAACAGCCTCGTTCCTGATGCCCCATTCGCTCTCAATGGAACGACCATCTCCGAATGCAACAGCTCTGTGTACCTAGGTCGAGAAGTCAACATGAGAAATGACCTGGCACCCGAGCTGCGCAGGAGGAAGAGAGCGGCTTGGAACGCCTTCAAGAACGTCGAAGAAATAGCTAAGAGGACGAAGAACCTCCGGCTCCGGGCACATCTCTTTGATTCCACTGTTCTTCCTGCATTAACATATGCCTCAGAGACCTGGGCCCTACCCAAACAAGATGAGAACGCCATTCAGGTCTCCCAAAGAAGAATAGAAAGAGCTATGCTTGGAATATCACGTTTCACTCAAATGAGAGAAAGAATCCGGAGTTCTGACATCCGTCGACGATCAAGAATCAGGGACGCTGTCTCATTTGTCAAGGTGTCAAAAATCAGATGGGCTGGTCACGTAATGAGATTTAAAAACGACCGCTGGACTAGAGCAGTTACTGACTGGATTCCACGGGATGTCAAAAGACCGCGTGGCCGCCCACCTACCAGATGGTCAGACTTCTTCGTCAAGATCATGAACGATCGGTTTGAGGCCCTTCATGTTCCCAGAGTGAACAGATGCCATTGGGCTACACTAGCACATGACAGGGACAAATGGAGACGTTACTGGCGCCCGCTAGAGCAAATCGACGACTAACGGGAAGTTAAGTGATTAAGTGACTTTTTGGGTCACACTTGGCGATGCACAGGGGTTACTCCTGGCTCTGCTCTCAAGAATTACTCCTGGCGGTGCTTAGGGGACCTTACGGGATGCTGGGAATCGAACCCGGGTTGGCTGCGTGCAAGGCAAACACCTAACCTGCTGTGCTATCGCTCCAGCCCCTCAAAACTTGTTCTTACTGGGTCTATACTTTCGTTCTAGATGTTTTTAATTCGTAATCTTAGCTTGAGCTACCAACTATATGCGAAAGTCTCAAATTCTAGTTCCAAATTCCTATGTGTAATTGCAGCCTTGACACACCCACCTGGGTATTTCAAACACACCTGAGTATGTTTAAAACCGAACTCTTGGGATCCTCCAGAACAGCTCCTGTGTACTGATTGACTTTACTCTCCAGTGTCAGAATCTCGGATACTGAGCCCACCTTTCACTTCGGCGTAAAAGCAGAGAGTCGGTGACACCTCATTCCTCTGCTATACAGTCACCTGTATTAACTTTTTGGGCTTGCTTTTTTTTTCCCCCAGAGTGAAAATTTGACCCTCTCATCCCTTGAATAAAGCCCTTCAATGCATCCCACTTCCCAATCAAGACAAATTCCTTAATATGATGAAAGAGGACCGTCCTTCGCCCACCTCGCTAGTTCTATCCTTTCTCTGTCCTTTATAGCATCTCCCCACGCGGCCTTATTTCTTCAAGCACCCAGTGCTCCTTAGAGCTGTAAGATCTTCAGGGGTCCCACATTCCATTCCATAGAATGCAATTTCAATCTACTCTCCAATCCAGTGGCTCATCAGATGTCCCTTTATAAGCATCAATTACTCAGGGACTACGCTGTCCAAATCAGAAACCAGTTTATAATTCTTTTTTCTTCAGCTTATAATTCTTTATGTCTTTTACTCTAAAGGTCTGTTTCTATTACTTTACCACTCTTCTTTGAAAGAAAGTACATATTATAGTCCTCACTACTTAGTCTTTTGTACTTGGTGCTCAAATGCTTGCTGAATAAATAAATAATTAAGAATTATTTCAAAAGTACTTGCAATACGCATTGAAGCCACTAGAGGCTGCACTGCTTTTCTTTTTTAATTTTCACAGAACACCAAAAGTGTGAAGATTCAGAGTATTTTCAAAATCATCTGTAATGTGTAAACCACTAACTGTGCATAAAATTCCAGAGATTCAAAAATATGATAATTCACATAAGACCTGATTTATTTCTCCAGGCATATATATACTGTAGCACTGTCCTCCTGTTGTTCATCGATTTGCTTGAGCGGGCCCAGTAACATCTCAATCATGAGACTTGTTGTTACTGTGTTTGGCATATTGAATGCGTCACAGGGGGCTTGCAAGGTTTTGCCATGTGGGGGAGGTCCTCTCAGTTGCTTGCCCGGCTCTCCGAGAGGGGTGGAGGAACTGAACACGGCTCAGCAAGGTCGGCCACGTGCAAGGCAAACACCCTACCGCTATGCTATCGCTCCAGCTAAGAAATATTATTACTAAACATCTCTTTAAAGACTATCACATTTTATTCAGATTTATTTAAAATTAAAATATTATAATAGTTGAATCATTTTAAAACTTCCAAAATAAATTAACAAAGAAACTGAAAAGACACATATCCATGTACTAATAAAAATTATTCATCTTCCACCTGTGGAATGTTTAAGATACACTAAAAAAACAACAGACTAGTATAGGCTGGAGAGAGAGTTCACCAGGTAAGGCACTGGCCTTGTACGTGGCCAACCCAGGTTTGACCCCCAGAACCCCATATGTTCCCCCAACTCTCCAGTAATAATCCCTGAGCAGAGCCTTGAGAGCTTGGTGTGCTATTCCCAACCCCATAAAAAGATAAGTTACTTCAAAAAATTTCCATCAACCAGAAACTGTATTTAAAATGTTAGTTGTGGCTATACAAGATGATTAAAGTCAGAGTAACTGTAAATACTAAAATGACCTGATTGAAAAATATTTTTGTTTCCACTGCTAGGATACATGTTGTAATAACTATACTGATAATTAAATGAAACACAAATGACCAACACTAATGTAATTCATTGAAAGTCGAAATAAAATCTTCTAACACTATTACTCATAACTTGGGACACAGAAATCAGCAATTACTAATAATTGAGTATGTGCTGCTTCGTAAAACATTTTTAACTGATAAGTATCGTGGGGAAAAGCACTTACTAGAAGACTGGCGGGTTGATTTGTTGCTGGTTCTGAGGTCACTTTAACAAATCCATGATCCTGGATATAAAGTAGACTGTGGAAAATACCAGAAATTTGAAGGCAATCATAGGAGAACTTCTACCTCCAACTTCTCACAAGTGTCTGAGGAAACATTTTAAATCTATTTTCAATTTAGAAGTCAGTTCCAAATTAAAGGCATTCCCTTTGGGCCCTACTGACATGCTGCTTATCCACCTGTCAGACGTAAGACAGTGGATGTTTATCATGTTTTGCTTTACTTTGCAAAAAACATGCCAATATATGCTAAAGACACTAATTGATAAGTGACTATAAAATCATTTACTGTGTACCAGGTAGAGCCGGCACCGCGAAACGTAAATTCCTAATTCTGTATTAGTAAATTCCTAATTTAGGAATAACACTGAAAATAACATTTAACTACCATTAAGTGTTAGTTAAAATAACATTTAACAGGTAACTAATAGGGAAAGAGGCTGAGAAGAGTTGAAGTCACCCTTCTAAGTCTGCACAGCAAATAACTGGTAGAACTGGCTTGGTTCTTTTACCTGACAAACACAAATCTTCAAGGACACCAGGTGCAGATTTCCAGAATTCCCCACTACAGAGATGGGTATCAACAATCTCTTCTCAGTTATATAGCCTTACCCTGTCATTCACAAATCCCTCCTTTCCATTCCAAAACCTGGTTCCAGTTTCAATTTTTTTTCACAAACTCAACAAGAATCAACAATCCTCTTCTGCTAAGAAATATGTAACAGGAATATACCACATTGACTATTTGACATTATTTTCCCAAGATCGGAGGTTTTTGTTTTTTTTTTCAAAGTTTTCTTCAACTTAGGGCATAAAACGCATATTTAGTAGTCATAAAAATATTTGGAATTCTTAGTACTAATAAAAGAAAAAAAAACTGGGGATAAAAAACCCCAAAGCCTCATTCGAATGAAAACGTTGGCTTGCTGAGCCTGAGTACACTGAAATTAAAATCTACAGGTAACTATTGATATACCTTTACCGGGAACCAGCAATCTAGTCTTAGGTCAATAGGAATGCTATTTTTATTTCTCCAGAGCTAAAAGAGATACTCCACACTGCTTCCAAGTAATATGTAACTTATCTGATAGCATAATTGTGGTACCTATTTATAGTTATGGAAAGGAATGCAATTCAAGAAGAAATCTAAAACCTGCAGAAGTGGGAATTTGTGTCAAGGAGCTATCAGGCACACCGAAAGAAAGCAGGAGTAGCCACATTCCTTTTACCCTTCGGCTTGTAATCAAGGAATAACATAAACGATAATTACCGATCTTCCTAAGTCGGTGTACTTAGAGCTGTTCGCGTTTGAGAAAGGAAAATGAAACTGTCTACGGCGAACGCATGTTTTAAAATAAGTTCTACCGGCAATATTTTAAACTCCAGCCTAAATGGGCAAGTCAAGGCACAGCGTTTGGAGCAAAGGAACCGGTTCTGGCTCCCGTGAGTACTGATTAATTGGGCTGACTTTTGATCAGCTGCATTGAACGCTTGTTTGCCCCTCTTGATGGGACTGGCTCTGACTGAGGTCCCAGAAGGTGCCCGATGTGCAATTACGGATCGAGCTGTCAGTGCCCCCTGAGCACTAATATCCAAGTCCAGGCTCTCGGGGTCTGCACAGATCCCAACAGCCGCACAGCCAAGGAGCTCCTCTTTGCACTCACCGTCTCCAGCTGCCCCAAGCCCCCGCGCCGCGACCTCGCACGGAGGGCAGGGGGCGGTTCCCCCCTAAAGTGCGAGAAAATAAGGGCGAGAAAATAGGCCTCGGGGCTAACCGGCAGGTGGAGACGGTGAAAGCCCGGCGCAGATCGCTCCGTCGCGGAGGCGGCGTCGGTCGAGCTAGGAGCGAGCCGCCGAGGCAGGCAGCAGCGTGCTCGCGGGCTCAGGACAGCCTCGGGGCCGCCCGCGCCGCCGTGCACCGCTTCCCGGGCGTGATCCGGCGCTTACCCCGGCTCGGGCCTGATCTTAGGGACGGCGACTCCTCCGCGCTGAGCCCGGACCCACGCTCGGACCGTTCCCGCCGTTCCTGGAGCCGCTGTCATCAACGCCCCCCGAGCCCAGCCCAGCCGCGGAACGCCCCCAGACATCTACCTGGCTGGGGGGGGTGGCTCTCGCGATAATTCCAGCGCTCCGTAACCCCGCCCCCTCGCTACCTCTGACCAATCAAGCGAGGGCAGGGGCGGGGTCTGGTCTTGACCGCGGACGCGGAGCTACGAGGCTTGGGCGGGCTGGGGGCGGGGCCGGGGCGGGGCCAGGGCATTTCTCTCGCGAGACTAGAGACCAGGAAGACGCCTGCAGCGCCGGGCTGCTGGGTTGCAGCAAGCGGCCGAGGCAGCCCGAGCTGCTGCAATCCGGCGCCTGGGGCCCGGCCGCGCTCCCCGGGGCCGAGGCGCGGAGGCCGGGTGTGGCCGCGCCGTGGAGGTGCACGGGGGCGCCCGGACGCCGACGGGGGTCTCGGCCCGCGGCCTGTCAGCGCGTCCGGGGGAGGCGCCCACACTCCTAACAGGCTAAGATGGCGGCCATGGCTTCGGGAGGCGGCGGCGGCGGCGGCGTGAACCCCTTCCTGAGCGACACGGACGAGGACGACGACGAGGTGGCGGCGCGCGAGGAGCGGAGGGCCGGCCTGCGGCTGGGCGCGGGGGGCGGCCTGGATCCCGGCTCGGCGGACTCGCTGTCCCCGCAGGACCCCGTGGCCCTGGGGGCCGGCGCGCGCCCCGGGCTCCCCGGGGAGGCGGCGGCCTCGGCGGCGGCGGCGGCGGCGTTGCCGGGGGTCGGCGCGGAGACCCCGGCGCGCCTGTCCATCGACGCCATCGCGGCGCAGCTGCTGCGCGACCAGTACCTGCTCACGGCGCTGGAGCTGCACACGGAGCTGCTGGAGAGCGGCCGCGAGCTGCCCCGCCTGCGCGACTACTTCTCCAACCCCGGCAACTTCGAGCGGCAGAGCGGGACCCCGCCGGGGCTGGGGGCGCCGGGCGTGCCGGGAGCGGCGGGCCTCGGCGGGGCCGGCGGGCGGGAGCCGAGTACGGCGTCCGGCGGGGGACAGCTCAGTAAGTGCGCGCAGCCGGCTGGGGGGGGGGGGGGGGAGTGGGGAGGTGTGGGGGTGGGCCGGGCGCGCGCGCGGGGGGCGCCCACCCGGGAACGCGTGCGGGCGAGAGCGCCGAGGGGAGGGCGTGCCGCCCACCCCAAGGTGCACCCCTTTATCCTGGATCCCCACCCCCGATGGATGCAAGTGGGGGGAGGCATAGCACCGCACCCCGAGTTTCTCGTGCATTGGAGCTGGGCTGGACCAGGGCTCCAGATAGACTCCCCCCTGCCTCCCCAGGCAGAGTGGCGTGTTGCTTTCTTCTTGTTGTTGTTGTTGTTGTTTGGGGGGGAAGGTCACACCCGGCAATGCACAGGGGTTACTCCTGGCTCTGCACTCGGGTATTAATCCTGGCGGTGCTCAGGGGACCATGTGGGATGCTGGGGGATCACACCCGGGTTGGCCGGGTGCAAGGCAAACGCCCTCCCCGCTGTGCTGTCGCTCCAGCCCGGTGGTGTGTTGCTTTCAACCTTTTTCCTCTTTTTTTTTTTCTCCGCTCCCCTGGATCCCCGCTTCTGGGAGACCAGTGTCTCTTCAACTCCTGCGACCCTCGGAGCCCAGAGAGTGGCCGAAGGGAGAAGCCCCCATGCCCGCGCCCCAGACCAGAGCCCCCCGCTGCCCCTTTTCTCCGGGGGAGCACCTCTCCGCCCCGCTGCAGATCCGGGCCCTGCTGCCCTTCGGGATGCGTCGCTTCCATTCCCATTTCCATGCCTCGATTTCCGTTTCCCACATTGCAGGCGATTTCAGGAGCTGGGCCAGCAAGTTCTGCAGTTTCTCTCGCGGCCCCACCCACCTGGCAGGCTCTTCGTGCCCCGTAAATGAGGAAATTTCTTTCATAACGCTGCAATCCTTTTTTTTTTTTTGACAAAAAATCCCATTCAGCATACATTTCTGAACGTTTCATGTGACCTGAAAACGTATTACCGAACGGATGCTTTTAGTTGTTAGAGGAAGCCAAATGGAAGGAACTGTTTGTTAACGAAAGTCACATGTGCCCGTTTTAACATGATTTAAACAAATCATGTTTTGTTTCTTATTCTTTTGGAAGATGCTAGGGACTTAGGTTGGCAACTTAGAGAAGGCAGAAGCCTGTGGCGTGTTCACTGTCCCATTTTCTCAGTTGGCTATGGAATTGTCTGGGTTGCTAGACGTTCTTTAATCTTTTTCAGGAAGAGATTTTCTCTTTGTTGACCTTTAAGACTATGAAATGTAACAAAGCAGTGTAGCAAATTGTTGCATAGTTGGTTGTAGAAAAGTTTCTTGTCTTTTGAAGATTTCTCCATTATCTAGTGATGTTTATCAACAAGCTCCTAAAAATTTCTTGACAGCTCAGATGCTATCATTATGAAAGCTAAATGAGTCTCTTCAGGCGGAGTTGTTTGGGTCTTTCATTGCAGTGCTATCAGTGACCACCCCCGCCCTCCCTCAAAAAAAAAAAAGCCTGGGGTCACAGAAGATATGGACGGACTTGCCACAATGAAAGATACACTGTGGCAGAAATTAAAAGGTTAATGACAAAACACCCCCAAGGGACTTGACATCACTGGTCCTCAGGAAGATTAAACCACGTAGTACCATAGTGCTCTTAGTAGACTAACCTAAGTAAAAGCCTGAAGGTAAGAGAATTTGGGGGGTGTATGGAAATTGGATCTCTCTGCAAGCAAGGAATGTTCACTAGTGCAGGCATTAGAGCCTGCAGTGTTACTCAGTGATGGAGCTGAGGCCTTGCTTATTTCCGCCCTTGTTTTCTGAGAAAAATGTAAATGGAACAACCACTTTGGAAAAGAGGTGGTTTTTTTTTGGGTGGGGGGGGGTGGTTTTCTTTTGCTTTTATTTGGGGGCCACACTTGGACTTTGTTTGGGGGCCACACCTGGACTGATTTGGACTAACCCCTGATCTGGGTTCAGAGATCATGCCTTGCAATGCTTGGGCGGTGCCAGAGAACTGAACTGGCTTCCAAAGTGTGCAAAGCAAGCACTTAACCAGTCTGCTATCTCTTCAGCCCAGAAAAATAGCCTTATAATTTTTATATTTTATTTTTAAACGCATACTGTGACCCAGCAATTCTATTCTTAGTTATTACCCCCAAGAAATGAAAAACTTGCAGTCATGCAACATTTTAACAAGCATCTTCCTGTCAGCTCTCTTTATATAGTCCCAACTTGTAAAACAGACATGTCCAACAACAGATGAATGAATAAACTGGAAAGGAATGAACTACTAACACATTAAAACATGGATAAATTTCTTTTTTTTTTTTTTTAATATAGGAGTAGGGCCGGAGTGATAGCATAGCGGGTAGGATGTTCACCTTGCACGCGGCCGACCCAGGTACAATTCGTCTCGGAGAGCCCGGCAAGCTACAAGGAGTATTCCACCCGCACGGCAAAGCCTGGCAAGCTCCCCCTGATTTATTTGATATGCCAAAAACAGTAACAAGTATCACAATGGAGACGTTACTGGTGCCCGCTTGAGCAAATCGATGAACAACGGGAGGACAGTGCTATACAGTGCAGTGCTATAATGTAGGGGTACTGCTTCTTATTCAGCCATTGATTAAGTGGATTGAATTGGGCACGAACTCCACATTACATTACTTTTTAAAAAAATTTTAATTGAATATCCGTGAGATAAACCATTACAAAACTGTTTACAATTGGGTTTCAGTCATACAATGATCCAGCACCCATCCCTCCGCCAATGTACATTTCCCACTACCAGTCTACCCTGTTTCCCTACCACCATCTCCCACCACCCTAACTCCCTCCCCATACACACCTTCCCACTTTCCTTCTTCTCTTTTTCCTTTTCCATTTATGTATTATGGTTTGCAATACAGATGCCAAGAGGTCATGGTGTTTGTTCAGGGCGTTCAATATTTTTATCGGATGGTAAGGCTGGAGTAACTTTTCAATTGGGTGTCCGCTTTGAGGTGTGGATGTGACTGCTGAGGCTTCTGGAAGTACAGGAAGGTGGGGGGAGGTAGCCCATCCTGACCCCGAGAAAGTCTGGAAATTTCAGTCACAAAACCCACATACCCAAATTTTCAGTATATTATATCTTGGTAAGGTCCATCCTGAGATGGTGGGGTCAGGCCAGGCAAGTGGGGTCGGAGAGCCCGGCAAGCTACCGAGAGTATTCGATATGCCAGACACAGTAACAACAAAGTCTCCAATGGAGACATTACTGGGCCCGCTCGAGCAAAATGTACAGCTATAACATGAGCTTTAGTTTCAATACATCTATGTTTGTAAATTTCAGTCAGATAAATCGATAAATAACCAGTAAATATCAGGTAAATAGATAAATGCTAAAATAATCTGTGATTATTGCCTACTGTATTTTAAAGGTACTAAGCTTCTGATTACACAATTTTAGAAATTCTAAGGTTGAATCCTTCCCTAAATCTACTTACTGCCTGCCTTTTAAGGTTTTCTATATTCAGCTAATGAATGGCTTCAATTGCCTCTGGCCAAGAGATGAATTAGTTACACATACAAACTGAAGCCTTTATCAAAGTCCAAGGAGAGGCAGCTTTTGAGACTTCTCAGTTCTGGATATGTGAATTTTGGAGGTGGAGAGGTGAGGAGATGCGCATTTGTAAGTAGGAAGAAGTGCTTTTTTCCATACCTGACCTTATGCTCCTCTTCCATCTGACTATTGGTCAACCATGTCCTCTGTAATAAATCTCTTACCTAATGAGCGAACTGACTTTCTGAGTTCTGTGAACTGCCTAGCCAACCTGTGGAGGGTGTCCCAGGAACTCCAGTCACCAGTTGGTCAGAAGCAAAGAAAAAAGCTGATCTTTTTTCCTTGACTAGAAGATTGACACACTGCAAAGCATTCAAAAATTTAAAGAATCTTAACTTGATAACTGATGTTTTAGTAGAAATTATATTGACTGAATAAAATTGCTTATGACATACTCTGTGGAAAACTTGGTGCTTGATACATTTATCATTGCAATGTTTATACTCTACTTGGTAAACAAATGACATTTATATTCTTGGGTTTTTGCCAACTAAGTCAGAATAACTTAGTAAAATTTTGCTTTCTAGTTACCTTGCAAGATCAGAATTGTGGGAGTGTTAACTGATTGTTAACGCTGAGCTCTGTACTATTTGAGACATAGTAATGCTGGTTGCATTGAAAGCTTTAGAGCTCTCACCAAAATTGAATGTAATTTCTCCAGATTTTCACTGTAAGGCACAGGTTTTAAGTCAGCAGAGACAGTGGCTGATCCAGTAGGAATAAAAGTAACAAGGCCTTTCAGTAATGGTTTTCATTAGATTTACCATGTCTTCAAACTTTCATAATGCAGCTTGTCAGGAAGCTAGTATTTATGATTGAGTGGGATCATTTCACTTCAGAGCCTCCAGCCAACCTTCAGTCATCTTCCTCTTTTCATAACCTTTTCTGTTTATGATTCTACTGATCTTTTCTCAGAACTCTCCAGAGTGCCTCTCTTACTGTGTTCCTTGTTCCTTTCTCACTGTCAGGAAATATTAATCTACAATTTCAGTCATTCCATTTTCTTCTTTTACATTGTACCAAGTTTTCTTCCCTGTTAGCTTAAAATTATTGCTTTCTCTGACTTCTGTGAGAGAAAAAGCCACTAGAATAATTCTACTATTCTTATATTCCCTGCTATCAGATTAATAAGACTTTCCAGTGGGTTTTGTTTTGTTTTGTGTTTTTTTGCTTTTTGGGTCACACCCAGGGATGCACAGGGATAATTCCTGGCTTATGCACTCAGGACTTTCTCCTGATGGTGCTCAGGGGACCATATGAAATTCTGAGAATCGAAACTGGGTTGGCCGCTTGCAAGGCAAATGCCCTACTCGTTGTGCTATTGCTCCAGCCCTCCAGTGTTGTCTTGACCATGTACATACCGGTTTATTGCATAACTCTTTTTTCTTCCTTGTCCTTTTCCAGTAATTTGAAATTATTCTTGTGGAGTTTGA